TGAATACACGGAAAAACAGTACAACTTAAGGGTGGATATTGTTTGAATTGCGAGTGAATCTAAATTAACCTCTAGAGTTACAACCTACAGCCATGTGTTATGTGTTCCGACGGAGGTGAGAGATCACCTTCGATCAAGTAAACATGATATTTTTACCACCGGCTAACCTCTGTTTATCTGATATCCAAAATATTTAGGTTTCAATGTCGGTCGGCGGCCGCTGAATAAATATTATTGAAAAAAACCCATAGTGCCGATGCTGATACATTGATCATATAAACAATCCTAAAAGCACACATTAAATTTCAAAAAAATAGGTTACGGTTATTCTATTAAAAAGTCTGTAACTGTATCTACTAAAGACATGTATACTATGTTCGATAAAACATAATTTAAGAAATAATCATATAAAAATCTTTATTAAAAGTGTTCTTGCAGGGTATCGCTTTACACTCTGCATAAACACTGTTGTTATTTAATTCATTCTAGTACTCAAAAGATTTTCTTGATCCTGAGTTTCCATTAAATTGTAATAAATAAATTTAAGTAACCGGCTAAGGTATTATCTAATTATAATTGTAAGGGTTAAAAATCTATAAAGATCGTGTGTTTTGGTCGAAATGATACGGAAAGGCCAAATCGCAAAGCGATGATATCAACGAGCAGGCCTCCAAACTCCATTTTAGGAAATCGTAACGCCTTTCGGACGTTTAAGCATCAAATTCCCGAGAGTGTTTCAAACGTGATCAGGGAAAAGAGACTGTATTGTCCCGCTATTTGTCTAGTAGTCAGGGTTGTACTTCTTCGCCACCGATCTGTTAGTGATACTGATAATTAACTTCTGGTACTAGTGTTATATTGTAATTGGCTGAATTAAGTAAAAGCTAAAAATTTGTACAGGACGGCTGTGAAAAATTTCTCTCTAAGAATTCGTATATTTCGTCTCCAAATATTGTAGATAACTTTAGTGGTTTGCGGAATATAATTATATATTCTCTATGAGTAGTAGTATAATATGTTAGATTAGTAAGCTATGAACCTGTTGATTAATATAGTACTATATTTGAATCTACTAAACTACGTTGTACATGTGTATCAATAGATAGAGGAGCCCTTGGGCCAATCGCCTAGCGGTACCTAACGACTTCCGACAGCAATTCAATGTACTATCCAATTATTTCTTTAGAGCTTTCATTGATTTTACGTATCAGAGAATTAATATACGTATACAAGACTGACAGAATATCACATCACATAAAGGATTTATGACTCTATCGTTAACATCTTCGACTCGAATTTAGTTTTATTTAAGAATTTGGCTACCGACAGATTAGCAAATTTTCACTTATAATACCACAAGAGCTTCAAAATTATCGGGTATTTCCCGATAGGTTCGTTGCAAACAAATGAAGGAGTCAAGTTTTTCAGGTTAAAAAATCACGAGCGCTTCGCGCCAGGGAAATGCCAGATAATTTTGAAGCTCGTGTGGTATTCGGGGGGATTATTTTTCCGACCCAAATGTCGGCCAATAGAATTGCACCATGAGACGAAATGTACAGTTAACAAATAAGAATTTCATAATGAATAAAACAACTACTTAATACTTTTCTTGAAGCAACTACCAGAGAAAATTTTCAAAAAATTATCAGTATAATACCATGTAGGTTGTACCACGTGACGTCGAATGGTGCAATTCTATTGGCCGATATTTGGTCGGAAAAATAATCAACGAAAATTTTATTATGACAAACTACACAAAAAGTTTGTGCTAATTGATCAAGTTTTCCCACATTTTGTACAACGTGAATCCTTAAAAAAAAACTTTCTTCGTGAAATTTATATATCACTTAATTGCTGAGAAATGGAAAAACTTTTAAGTTTGTCTAACGAGTGTAGACTTAAGGGTCAATTAATTTATAATAAATAACTTTTCCATCTTCCCCAAGGAACTCAGTTGACAATGTAGGAACCACTAATATCTTATTTATCTACAACTTAAACATTTGTTTTTGTAAAATAATATAAGCAAAGAATCACATCCTAGCTAAACTATTCTTTAAGAAAATAGCCTATTGTTCCTTATAAGGTACGTAAAGTAGTTACTGATTTTTGGTTCAGTAGAAATTCATGAGCCACGATGAGCCATGATGCGTTGGAAATACTACCTATAAAAGAACTACTACATTTCGGTATTTGGGTTGTACCGTAAAATATGTCAACAGCAGAGAGGATGTAATTGATCTCCGTGTTCAAAATACTATAATTCATGCGATGCAGTACAACCTTGCACAAACCCCAGTATCTAGCTTCTCAACAGAAGCACGAAAATTAATATACATACACAATAATGTTATAAGACCTTTCTAAGAAGTTCATCAGTAGCTTCTACTGGTATCGAAACGCAAAATACAGCGTAAAATCTTGGGACTGACAAGGAGGGAGGTCTGGTTTATAGAGTCCGAAAAAATGCTGAAATAAAAGAGTTGGTAGCCCATCTTTTTTTTAACGTCAGGAAATGCTGTTATGTAGGTATATCCCTGTGGCATTTTGCTCAAGCGGGGATTATGTGGTACTCTCACTACGAAACTTAATTTACAACCCTACCGACTAAAACCTGACCTAACCATAAAACAGACAAATAATAATAACCTGTCTTCATTTATGAAATAATTTATAGTTGTGGATAAGGTGCTTAAATCCAACTATTAACTTTTTTAACGAAAGCGAGAGCGCATTTCACGTCATATTGGATCCTCTGGCAAGTAAGTTCTATTCCAAATATACAGTGAATACTGAACTACCTGTATATATCATGCATTTAGCAACAAATTATATAGGATTTTAATAATACGATAAGGTACAACTTAAACTTAAATTAGAGCGGAAATAGCTTCGTGGATTCAATTCTTAGCATCAATTACCGACCCTTAGGTCGTTCGTTGAGCCAGATCTCAAGTGATCTACTCGTGTGTAACACGTAGATGAGTCGATGAGACTTATCGTATCTTACCCTAGTCCACTAATCTACGTCTGAATCACGCATAACTTTTATTTTATTTTTTATTTAGAACTATATAAAACCTTTGAAAAGAATTATGAACTTTTTGGAGTGACAATCAGAACTAACGAAATATGTTTATGAATATGAAACAAGTGCAAAGTGCCACTGAACCTTGTTTCCCAGCTTTACATAAATTTTTAGGAAATTAGTTTTGTCGTTTAGTTCACTTCAATTTCACTTACAAAACCCACAAACGCTATACTGATGACCTTTACAGTGAATATTGTGGAATTTCTCGATTAATTAAATTTAATTGATCGCTTTGTTTCCACGAGACAAATGAAATAATAATAAGTGAAGCTAGATGTAAACAAGTCGCTCGAAGGCCGCAAACAAATCAGTACGGGTTTTGTTCCTGAAAACCTGTTTACAGTGAACACGCTCTTTATCCTTTAAAATGTGAACGTGTACTACCTTAGTTGCAATTAATAATAATAAGGTATAAAAGAATGTTAACGGACAGAAAAATACTATACTTGGTTTAATTAAAAAATGTTCTTTGTGCCGGCAAAGTAGGTAACTGTAACATTTAGCGTTCCAGTCACTGCGCACCAACTGAGTCAATGGTGTTCGGCACCACGAGCACAGGATGAAGGAGTTCAGATTCACTTTCCCTATCGAATGTGTAATCTATACAAGTTCGAATCGCATAATGTTGTGGGAATTCAGGAACCCGATGGTTGAATGGTTGAAAATAATCATATAGGTATAATTCGGCCCCGTGTTCAGTGGCGCAGTGACTTGTGCCGTAGACTGATGTCGCGTGAATTATTAAAGGGACTAATTCAGTTAAAGTTACTGTTAAGATGACCGGCATCCAACCTTCTTAACATCCTAAAGACAACGTGACAATAACAAGATAACATGATGCTTAGTAGGAACATAGTAACAAATAAATTTTTTTAAGCAACTCTTCTTCAACAAAACCTTACATTTAGATGCCAAGAATTGGTGACTTAGTTTGTACGTAAGCCCTTATCTATTCGTATCTTTGGCCCAGAATACGCTACCGCGACGTAACTATATATAGATACCTGACCATTCCTAAAATAATCCAAAAAGTAATGTCATCTAGAAAGATTACCTGACAAACAGAGCGCATGACCACCGTGAAGAGTACCCATCTCACTGAATCAAAGTCTTTTGTTGGGTTGTAAAAACTTTTGTTGGAATATAATATACCTAATGACCCTGTGCCCCAGCGGCCGTCACCCACACTCAGCCTCCACCAACTCGTCATCGCGGCGGCCGCAATCATTCAGCTTCACACTCATTTAAATCCGTCATTATATATCATGGAGACACATTACTTTTTCTGCTCTTTTTTGTATTTTGCTATTTAATTTCCGCTTTTATTTTGTGCTATTAGTATTTCTAATTAGAAAGTGATCGTTGTATAACACGTAATCTCTAAGTAATGAAATTGTACTTTCGCACTTTAATTTCTAATGTAATAGAATGGCTAAAGAATTACAGATGTTGCGATTTCACGTTTCCGGTTTTAAAATATGTTTTACTGAGCGTCAACCGCTCTGACGTCTACACCCGCGTTGACATGTACGCACTGCTGGCCTCGCAGCTAGAGCTTTTCTCGATCGTTGCCTCGTAAACAGATATGCCTCATGTTCAATCTGGATTAACTTTTCAGTCATTTTCTTCATCAATAGGTTTCATAGCGATGATACGTGTCGGTGACCCTGAAAGAGGATCTGCGCGGGCGCCTAGCGGACTTACAAAAATGCTTTATTCCAAGATTAAAACATCGGATTCTAAATAAAGACGACATTGCGGCTGCCATCCGGAGTTAGACACTGCGGAATCAATCGCACAAATATCGCAATAGTATTATTCTGTATATCGGTTTATTAAAACTATATCGACAATCGCTATAAATAAATAACTGCCACTTGTTACTACAGCTAACTCGCTTCGTACAGTTATGAATGTGACGATTGTAAATGCAAATAGTGCTATCAAATGGTACAGAGTACACATTCAACGAGTCCTCACTCCTTCTATATATACCTTGAGTGGTTCCGTCACTATCGTAAGTAGCCGTATACAGTATCGGCATACTTATCGCGAAAAAGACAGAACAAGAATGGTCGTCGTCGCGGTCGTTGACCCGCGCGATATTTCACCGGTTATCGTCTCGCGAGTCATGCCCTTTCACTGCACATCCGGTCGGGAGAGGGCCGCTTCACCTCACACTTCACTTCTCTCCAGTGTGTCTGTGGATACTTACACGTCAGGAACTGGTTCTAAAGGGACGCCACTTTGTGCGAAATAATCACCTTGGGTCACGTCAGTTATTATAGATTAGATGTTGGCGGTACAAGTGAAAGTTGTTGTATATTGCACATAAAAATAATCGACGAAACTCATAATAAATATTTATTGAGACCCCAATGAAGATGTATTATATAGTGAGATATCCAAATACATATTAATTAAAAAAAATATATACAATATAAACTTAAAACTAGATCTAGCTTTTAAAGGCCCATTTGAGTTGTATCACATACATTTACATGTATTTAATGATAATGATCGAGTCTTGTATGTTAATAATTAAATCTCCATTCTTTAGATATATCCTCAAAATGCAATATCGATTCCACTTCCAGATGTACTTACAAGAAATTGTATCATGAGATGTCTGTTTGGTCTTAATTAATTACAGGCACTTGTGAGTAGGTCTAGAGATTTGTAAGCAATGAGTCCACAAAGTGGTTCTTTGTGTGAGCTCGGAAAGCCAGGAAGTCGACGTTGAACCGTTCCTAGATGGGTCGTATTTCGTATGCAGATCGGCAAAAGTGGCTTATTATTACTGACATAGAACCCAATTTTAAAGTTAAATCAATATTTTTCGATAGATAAGATATTTTATATGGAAAAGCAAATATTATAAATAGTATATATAAGCGACTTAATGATAAAACGAGGCATTTATCAATTGTTTTAAAGAAGTATTTTATTCCAGCCAAATGAATCCATTGAAGGATTGACATCGTCGTGGCTAGCGACAGAATACGGCGATTAACGTCTGGTGGACGATTGAGCATAGAACGTGCGACGTGCATAATGCAGCGCGCATTTCACGAGAACAGACGCATTTCCTATGTTCCGCGATCACTCATCTATTCAAACAACTTTATTAATATTTACAATGATCAGCCATTCAAGCGTTTTCGCTCCGAACGCAAACGACATGCCGTGAATGTCAATATTTAAAGTTTTATTTAAGCAATTAACGACAGGCAAGCAATTGTCAAAGGCCCAAGGAAAATGCCTCATTGGAGGGTTACGAGGTTAAACACATCAAAATGCGACTCACGGCCACTTACTTAACTTACTTAAAATGTACGCCTTGACTTAATTGTTATTTACTTCATAGTCCTTTATAGGGTTATTCTTATTTTAGTCTTCGACTCGGCTCGTTTCAATAAAATATTTAGAACACCTGGCTCTCACTATGAGGGACTCAGGAACTTCTAAACGCTATATTTGCTTGCCAAAGTAGGCAGCCAAAGTTGAGAGTGGGAAGTTAGACTCGGCACTCGGCCACTTGCAGCTATTCTGAGCTTGTCTTGCGGAAGCAAAATGTCACTCGACTTGCATGAAAATTTATTGAACAACAACAAATGAAGAAAATACTTAATCAATTGAAATGCCTTTATCTCCCGACATTGGAAACAATAGATCTGATAGCCATGAAACTGTTATCACGGGTCACCGTCTATCCCTTGACTTCCAGTACACTCTGTAATGCTTCTTTAAGTACTTAATTAATCCTACGACTAATATATTATTGTGTTTTAAATATATACATTAATTGTTTTTGGTTTAATTTTTCCTATAATATAGTTTAACACAATAAACAACCCGCATATGCACACAGCATAAGCACCAAAATATACTTTACGAGCTGATTATGAAACGATATAATATAAAAGGCTTATCAGAACTTTTAATATGCTCACAACGCGGTGTCACGGGATTTCATCTTCGCGTTGTGTGGTTTACGAGGGAACCATTAAACGATTAAAGGATTAATCCTAATGTACATTAGCCAGGGGTTCTAATCCCGGCGACCACACATAAACTGCTGTCTACGAGGCAGTTTCTCTAATGATGACATAATTCATAAAAAGTATCCCTATACAATGATTTGAAATAGTTAATACACGTAATGACCTAAACATGTGCAATGAACCTTGCGTTTTACCAATGCCCACGTCGCCTTGTGCATTCCTCCGCCTTATAGAGTCATTCAAGACAACCTTTGTCCTATGTTTTACACATATACAATATACATAATTATAAAGAACGTACATATGGGTTGTCCAAGAACATAATCATTACCTTTAATGTATTTCTTTTACGTATCGCCCGTCGACAGAGCGAATTTCAGAGTAATTGTGTATGCCCCGTTCTCTGTTATACTAATCCATCGCGCCGTAACCAACCTTTACAACCGAGATCATTCTTTAATTTGGTTCTATAACGTTAACTTCTGTTAGCGGAGTTTCTTATATCTTATAACAACATTGCTTGTAATCTAGAAACTTTTGCACAAACAAATTTGAAGTCCGTTACAGCGAAGGTTTCTAACGTAAGTTGAGAAAATGTAAAGAGTTTTCTCGTAAGTCGTAATGATGATGAATTGGACAAGACTCTTCGGTTGATGAGAGGAATGCAATGCGTGAAGGGATGAACTTGACCCAGTGCTGAGTGACGTCACGCCCAAGACGGCGCGCACAATGCGCTCTTTGTTGACTGGCCACTGCTAGGTGACGTCATATCGCCTTGTTTACCGACGCCCAATTAATTTAAACACTTTATTTACGTTTAAAATATTAGGTCCTTACATATGAAATTGGCGTATTTCGTACTGGCCACTTTAATCACGATGTTCTCCCCTTTGGTAAGGAATTCCAAATTCATACAGCTATATACTCATGTATTTGTGCTTCGTTGACCGTCATTCATTTGTTTTTTTCTGTTTGCGTCACTCATTTTACAAAATGGAAAACTTAAAGTATCGCATTATTTACAAGTACGAGTTTCGCCGTGGCACTCTAGTGCTGCGAAAACGACTCGAAGGGTGAATGATGTGTATGGCGGTAATGTTGCTAAATAAAACACAGTTCGTTTTTGGTTCCAACGTTTTCGTTCTGGAAATTTCGACCTGCAGAACAAGCCCCGTGGACGGCCTGAGACCCAAGTTGATAATGAAGTATTGAAGGCTATTGTGGAAGCGGATCCATCGCAAACCACGTCCGAGTTAGCTGCAAGCTGCGGTGTTAGTGATAAAACTGTTTTAATTCACTTGAAGCAAATTGGGAAGATTAAAAAGCTTGAAAGACGGGTACCTCACGAATTGACTGAAGCAAACCGGCAAACGCGCGTCGACTGCTGCGTTACATTACTGAACCGGCACAATAATGAAGGTATTTTAAACCGAATCATTACCTGTGATGAAAAATGGATTGTTTACGATAATCGAAAGCGCTCAGCGCAATGGTTGGATCCTGGCCAGCCAGCCAAATCCTGCCCCAAGCGAAAATTAACCCCAAAAAAGTTACTTGTAAGCGTTTGGTGGACTAGTGCCGGTATTGTTCATTGCAGTTTTCTCAAATCTGGCCAGACTATTACGGCTGATGTCTATTGTCAGCAATTGCAAACCATGATGGAAAAGCTAGCGGCTAAACACCCTAGGCTGGTGAATCGCTCCACGCCACTGCTACTTCACGACAACGCTAGACCACACACTGCACAACAGACGGCTACCAAATTCGAAGAGCTTCAATTGGAATGTCTACGACATCCTCCGTACTCCCCGGACCTTGCTCCAACAGATTACCATTTTTTTCGAAATTTGGACAACTTCTTGCAAGGGAAAAAATTTAACTCTGATGGGGCAGTCCAAATCGCCTTCACAGATTTTATTGATTCCCGTCCGACTGGTTTTTTTAGTAAAGGGATCAATGAACTACCTATGAGATGGCAAAAGTGCATAGAAAACAATGGTTCATACTTTGATTAATTAAATATATTATATTTACAAAATACAAAACGCCAATTTCATATGTAAGGACCTAATATATAGGGTAGTTCGCAGACGCTGTATACCAACGCTCAGAGATCGAACACTTGCTGAAATGCAATTAAATTGACCAACACAGTCATTGCAATTATGCAAAGAACCAATCACAATGAAAAATCTGCTTGAATTGACTCAATAGCACACTGGCTCGGGTTTTTAATAAACTAGGACCATAATCTGAATCAATGAAGCTAAATAAGATGCACAATTAGATTGATTGAAGGTTCTCGGCAAGTGAAATAGCCCCGCACTGACTGCAATTAATCAGAACGAGCCACGCGTCACAAACTTTATCATATTCTTGGTTGGAGTTTTACCTTCAAAATAGAAACTAAGTATCAGCGGAGCGGTATAGACTAGAGAATAATTCAGGGGGCACGCGGGAGCCTATTCCGAGAACGCCGATAACGAAGCAGACCAATCTAGTTCTGATGAGTTTCCTACTTTTGTCCCTGGTGCCTCGACGGCCGCCTCGTGCCTTACTCTTTACCCCTGTCATCGATAATATTAATTGTTTATTCGCTGTTAGTAATAAAAGAAAAATAGTATATAATTCTAAGATTTGGAATTACATAGCGGGTGGGTACCGGGGGAGAACTGAACGACATTTACGAATAAATGCGGATTAGTTTAATCTAGGAGAGACACGGCGCGGCCCAACGAAAGACATCGACTATACGCATTGTGCTGCTGTAGTCGACGCCCCTACTCCAGAGTACCCTGTTTTCACTTTGGGTCTTATTTTTAATAATTAATTAATTACCCATCAAATAAATTTCGTGAAATGTTATTCGAATAAAGTTGTATAAGAGGATTCACGAAATGTAATTATTATTTGAAAAAGTCGCCCGTTCCGGGTGGCCTAAACTGAGTGGCATTTCACAGCGATAACGATCTTACCCGTCCCGCCCCCCTCGCTCAATGCCCTTGCTAAATTAATAAACGGTGCGAGCACCCCGAACTCCAAAAAGGCCACCACCACTTTTTGCTCCACTTTTAAACTTTATGACACACTTGTCTTTACTCCGGTTCCAATTTGTTTCTACGAGAACGTAATTTCTCGTTTCCTTGGTCGCTCGCAGAGACTCAACTCTGCGGTCTCTTGAATAGTACGGCGGATGAGTCGTGTGCCGAATTAAATCGGTTATCTTATTCTGTAAACGGATTAGTGTGAACCCTTC